GGACGGAGAGATCTATCTATACACATAAGGTACACAGAACATGCTTTTTTCTCATTGACATTTTTTCCTCTTTCATTTTTCAGACTGCTGAAGACATGTCGGACACACTAACTCGAATCGCTTCTGTTCATTATGAACGTCGTGAATTTGACTTGGCTTTAGCCTACCATACTTCTGCACTTCAACTATGTGAATCAGTTAATCCATTAAATTTGGCTTCGATTGCCACTAATCTAGTCGGTATTGCCAATGCTCATCGAGCTAAAAACGAACTTTCAGAAGCACTTGATTATGCCAAACGAGCATTGACTATACGTGAATCGATTGAACCTATTGACGAAGCTAGTGTTGGCAAAAGTTTAGGGACACTTGCCAATATTTATCTTGAATTGGGTGACAATACTGAGGCATTACAAGCCGGAATGCGTGCATTTGATATTTTTCAGCGTATTCTTCCAAGTAACTCACCTGAATCAGCTGGTTTACTCAATAATTTGGGTGCAATTAAGCTAAGGCAAGGTGATATAGCTGAAGCTCAACAATATTTTGAACAATCGATTCGTATTTATCGGCAAATACTTCCTGAATCACATCCATATATCGCTAAATTGAAGAACAACATTGAATTTGTCAGTCGAATGCAGCAAAAAGAGCTCGAAAACTAATGGCTCCTGCCAAGAATATGAATATAATCGGGGATCGATTAAATAAAATTCAACATAAGATCAACAAAGAATTCTTCAATGAAGTTTTCTAATTCGTCTATATTTTCTTCAGTTTCTCAGTTAGAGATGTACTAAATGAAATTTCATCCTTCTAACACCAGAGATATCAGGGAGATAGACCGGTAGTTGGGTTCTCTTCGAATATGTGAGTGAGTGTGGGTGTGGGTGCACGTGGAACAGTTGACACCCACACCTATCAACATTCTAAATTGTTTAAAGACAAAAATGATGTCTGTCTAAATTTTCTTACGTGGTTCACGATGTAAAAGTTATCATTTTTCTTATAAAAGAAACATGTTTTAATTACACTATATTTGATGTAACCAATACGTATTTGATCATAAATACCTTTTTGATAATCAAAGAATTGTGTTTCCTTTGAAAAAAAAATGAGAATAGAATTTTATTTAATATAATTTCTTACATCATTATTTTATTTTTAACCATAAAACGTTCGTGAATCATCATAAAGTCAAAAACTGTTATTAAATTTTCACCTTTGGTTTTGTATTTCGAAGAATATACATAATAAACAAATGGCATAAATGGGTATGCGTTCATCTAAAACAAATGATTATTGCATCCAAAAAACAGTTCATGAATATAAAATTATTGAAATAAAATGATCATGATAAAAGCTGAACTTAAATCATCTTCTTCATCATTTGATATTTCATCCGTTAATCCTTTCAATCCCGACATTTTCTCTCGTTCTATACAAAGTTGAAGAAAATCTAGATTTCTCTTTCTCATGTATTCTCATTTAGATAATTAGCTGCACACGAATTCTAACTACACTAGTTCAGTGCGAAAAAAAAAATTTTCGCAGCGAAGAATACACGCGCTTCTTTGAACACACATATGATACGTATCATGTACGAAGGCGACAGAAGGCAAAATTTCTATATTACGATATGCATATCATCCCGTAGATGACATGCGCGATTGAAAGGGTTAATCAGATGAAATCGTCATCATCAAGTGTAGATATTAGACACATTTGAAAAAAAATTTGTGGACGAAATACAAAAACTGCAAGAAACAGAAGTACATAGTACACAAAGCTTTGTATTGGTCATGATTTTTTAGTTTCGAAACCGCCATTTTGTCGATAGAGATCGTTATTGGTTTCTTTTTATAAATTCGTTAAATCGAATTTATTTGAAAGTCATAGGTAGGCGACTCCGAGACTCAATGTGACGGTGCTTTTTTAATATTTTCATATAAAGTTGATGCCACTCTTTCCAAAACTGCAAACGACAGGTCTCTAGCTGCTTCCCAGCTGGAGTTATTCAATTTACAACGGAGTGCACTGTTCATTGAAATGGATATTAGTTCATCTTCGACGTCTTTTTCGACCTTCACATATCAGTCTATGTAGTAGATATCGACATGATTCAACTAGTAGATAATTTTATATTTTTTATTGTGTATGTCTCAAAAAATGGGATAGGCTAGAATCGTCTGATTTTCATCAGATTACAATCTATATAGTCTCTAGTGTACTAGTAAAACATTTCAGATCAATCCATTGATCTCTTTAGTTTTTATTGATGATACAATCACAATATGTCGTTTTACATTCTTTCAAAAGCTCGTTATAAGTTGGAATTTTCGTTATAGTACATAATTCAATAGAACACCTTGCACTCTACATAATTCCCATAATATTTACCTAATTTTGTTGTTTAATGCATTATTAGCAAGAGCAGTACAAGTTTTGTCAGATATTCTATTTTAATAGAAATTTCATGTTGAAAAATTGTCGTATTCGTCTTCAATGTATACACCAATCATAGGTAGACGTTCTTATACTGTCTTATTCATGTATCGAAGGAGGTAAAATTTGTTTTAACAGTATGGATTTGTAGAGAATCTTTTTCCGGTGGAAGAGTAAAAAGCTTATCGTAGTCCTATGTCGATAGAAAATGAAATTTAGAACAACGTGCTATGTTAAGTTTGGTTTGATACATTCTTATTTAAGGACTACAATCAACTTTTTTTACTCCTGCCATTTCTAGCGTAACAAAGGCAAATAACTGAAGAAGCATAATCGATTTTGATTTTAAACATACGAGTTTCACACAAAAAAAGCATTTCCTACAAATTCGTTATCTTCTTTGATTTATGAATAAGACAATACAAGAACGTCTATCTGGATATTTTCTGACTTTCCATTCTCAAGATCATCACAACAGGAAATGATTACTTTTGACGTGTTTGTCTAGTAAGTAAAAAAGAACAAGAAAATCCCCAAAGGCCTACACAAATGCTGTACTTTGCACGGTAAAAACAAATTCAAGAGAGAGAACCAAAACAAGAGACATTCGTCGACGGAATTCATCAAAAAATATGTAGCTAAATTTTTTCAGGCGAATAAATTTTTAAATAATTTCTTCTAGACAAGAACAAAGACTACAATCCTGACTATCACTGAAGCCAATGGAAAAGAAATAACGAACTATTATATCTCTGCTAAATATTCATTTTATATCTTTGCAATCTTTCATAACATCTCCTTTCCCCGTCCCCACAGAATAGAAGCCCAGTTCTGAGGTTATAACTTTACAGACACATTAGAAGCCTACTCTATCTAAAATGAGCACAAAATAGACAAGTTATCAAATTGGATAAATTAGTTCACTGATTCTCACTGTTTAATTGTAGCTGAGTTAATGCGCCTAATTTTCTTTGTGTTGCATATTTATTTTATCCGCAGACAAATGAACATCTTTCAAGTATTAAAAAATTTGTATGCCTATGTATCAATAAAACATATCTGTCTAGGAACCATTCAATAGAAATTACGCATGCAATAATACCGTTGTGTTAGGTTGCTTCCTCTTATACGATTATGTACGACATAGAAACGAAATGGTGGAGTTTTTTATTGACTTAGCAGCAGTACGAGCAAATCTTTGATCGAAAGATGAGACGCCTGAAAAAGCTGACCTTGATCGATACGAATTACGCAAGAACTTATCAGACTTAAAAATAAATACCATCGTGGGATGGTACAATATCAATTATTATAACATGTATTAGATCTGAATTATCTATCTCTCAAGAAATGGGAGATCCTTATTGTGTAATCACAGGTTTATTTCATATTTCTGTCGCGATAATTGAAATATATCTTTTTTCGTATCTGAACCATGCATCGGCTGCCATGACGAAATCGTGTACTGGAACTATATCGGTATAGGTCTAATAGAAACCTCTTTTAAATTCCTTCAAAACTTTACATGTTCAAAATCAATATATGATGTTAAACGGAGTTTTTCGTATCTGCAGCAAGATCCACGAAATGCTGAAGATAGATGAGTGTGTGAATGCGAAACGCTGTATAAATAATGTACTACTCTATCGTTTTAATAATATACAATCGAACAAGAATTGGCAACCAGTTTTCGGCTTCTTAGAAGCTATAATAGCTACTCTGAAGGTTGTCAGACAATTTTATAATTTCGATTTGTAATTTTGTGGAACTCACATATTTTCGAAGAAAATAGTGAGTGTAAGTTTCAAGTCAAAGCTTTTATGACTCCCCCCATTATAGACACTCACATTACAGACATCCCTCATTACAGACACTTCTCCATTACAAGTAGCTCCCTATTACAGGTAGGCGCCATATAATAAATGGTTTGTAATCGTTATACTTCATCTAAAGCTTCGCTGCAAACGTATATCTATAAAACTACAGCAATAACATTTAACAAAATTTGCAGTAAAATAGTTTCTAGTGTTTATGGATATGTAAGTTCCACACTCTAGCACCAAAGAGACTGCGCTGAAAAGCTTTTTAAGACCTTATGTGCCTGTAAGTTAATTAAACCTTCGCTACAACATGAAAAAAAGTTGATCGCAATAGAAGCCCATATCCAAACTCATAATTTTCAAAATACATTAGAAGCCCAGTGGGTTTCTATTCTGTGGATGGGTTTACTAATAGACATGAATAGTCAATATTCATATTAACATTATTTCTTCTGTTGCAATTTTATTTTAATATTTCTTTGATATTATATAGAACAGGTTTGAAAAGAACATAAAAAGCAAAAGGACAATATAATATTTAGACTAATCTTGTCAAAACTTTTTATAGAGTGCAAAGTTAAAAAACGAAAAAAGAAATAAGGTATCAAGTGAACAACTACAAATTAAATCAAAGAAGATAGAAAAAGCACATAATCAAAAAGAAACACCTAGTATTATGGTTGGTAAAGCATACATATTCAAGTTTATATTCATTAACTTGATAATTTAAATTTTTTAACGTTGACGAACTGAACTAGCACGGATGGTTGAAGTTGCACGTATTCCTGTACTTGATTCACGAAATTCATGCTAGATTAAAATATGACAAGTATTTTTTTTTGTATTTAAATAAAAGAAAAATTAACTTACAGTTTCCGTAGTACGACCTACACTAATCGATGATCGATTTTTAGCACGTAATTTTCCAAGTTGATTTTCAGCTGAATCAGCACGTTCAGCTGATTCTTCTACAAAAGATAATTAAATCGAATGTTTAGATTCTCTTTTTTTTACTAATAAACTTACCAAGTTCTGTTTGAACTTTACGAAATTTAGCCAAATTAAGTGCAGCGATTTCCTCTGAAAATGAAAATGGTTTTTGTTTGCATATGAAAACAATGAAACTTCATTTACCAGCTTCTTCGACTTGACGTTTATAAACTTTAACCTTCGATTGTAATTTTTCCGTAAGATCTTGTAAACGTACATGATTCTTACGATCTTCTTCAGTTTGAAATACAAGTTCTTTCAAACGTCGATCATTTTTACGTAATTCTTTAAGTGTTTCTTGATGACGATTTTGTTCTAATTCATTTTCAGTTTCTAATTCATGAATCTAAACAAAATCAAGAAATATTTTTTTGCTTTTTTTAATAAATTTTCTTACGCGTTGTTCAAGTTTAGAAATAATACGTTTTCCACCTTTAAGTGAACTAGCTTCAGCTTCATCAAGACGTGTTTGAAGATCTTTAATTTGTTGTTCAAGACCTTTACGTAAACGTTCAACTTGTAAAGCATGTTCTTGTTCTTGACGTAATTCTTCAACAAGACGTGAAGCATCACTACTAGCTTTTTTCGCACGTTCTTCACTATTCTTAAGTTCACTAACAGCTTCATCTAAATCAGCTTGCATAGCAGCTATTGTTGATTCAAGTTGTCGTCGTTGTGATGATAAATTAGCATTTTGTGTGCTTACATCACTAATACGATCAGCTGCATCATGTAATTCATTTTCAGCTGCTTTACGTGCACGTTCAGCTTGTTCTAAAGCTGTACGTAATTCTTCAAGTTCACTTATTATAACATTAGCACGACGTTCAGCTGTAGCAGCGGCTTCACGTGCTTCATCACGTTGTCGTTGTTCTTCTTCAATTTGTGTTTGTAATTCTGTTACACTAACTTGAATACGTTTTAATGCTTTTTGTAAATCAGAATTTGTACGATTAGCATGATCAAGTGCAACTTCAAGTTCATTGATATCTGATTCAAGTTTCTTTTTCTAAAATAGAAAATAGAAAATATAATATTTAATTTTGTTTTGTTTGGTTTTTGTTCTTACCTGTTTAAGTGCTTCAGCTTTTGATCGTACTTCAGCTTCTAAACTAGCTTGCATTGATTCAAGTGCACGTTGATGATTACGTCTTGTATTTTCAAATTCTTCTTCTTTTTCATGAATTCTTCGATCAATTTCTTGTCGAACAGTACTTAATTCTAATTGAACACGAAGTACTTTAGCTTCTTCTTGTTCAAGTGTTGATTCAGCATCTTCTAATGCAGCTTGTAATTCTTCTTTTTCTAATTCAGCACGTTTACGAGCCTTGTCTAATTCATGTACTGATTTTCCACCATCACTTAATTGATCAATAAGATCCTTAAAACAAAGTCAAAATAATTTATTATTATTTTTTTATATCGAAAATAAAAAAAAACAAACTTTAATTTCATCAGCCAAATTTCTGTTCTCTTTACGAAGTGATTCAATTTGTTCTTGTGATTCTTCATATTGTGTTTTAAGTTTAAATAATTCTGTTGAAAAACTTCGAGATTCTTTTTGTGACATTTCAAGTTCAATAGTAATATCTTCACATTTTTGTCTCCATTCACTAATTAATTTATCGAATTGTTTCTGTTTCTTATCCATAGATGATGCATCTTAAAAAGAAAAAACAAAATAATAATAATAATAATAATAATTTTATTTCAATATTTAACTATTAAATAAAACTTAC